TTTATTTTCTGGTTTTGCACAAGGTGATTTGGGATGTGGTATTCTGAAGCTAAAAAACCAAAGTCTCAACTTCTGTCATGCTTCTGGTTTCAAAGTTTGTGTGTGCGGGGAAGGAGGTTTGAAAATGCCTTAGGCTAAAATTACTCCTTCTGCCTTTGAAAAGGGGAGTATTTCACTGAGAATAAACTGTGATTTGTGCTATCTCCTGAACTGTTCCTGAGCAGCATGGTAGATCCCAATACCGTGCCAGGGATGAGCTATCAGGATAGATGACAGTGTGATAAGACTGAACACCCAGAGAAAGCAGTTAGGATCTGCTACTCTCAAGCAGATCCAAACTCTCCAAGGTACCAAAATATATATATAGTTTTTGTAGGTGACTTTAAAGAGACTCACATGTGATCAGGACTGTTATAGCTTAGAGTGGTCAGGCAGTCATCCTCTTTCATTATTCACACATAGGTATGTCTTTCAGATGCTTAGAAAACCTGGATAGAAACTTACTGCTATTTCCCATTTTTCATATATATATTTTTTTTGATAGCAGTATAGCCCAGAAAGTGAGAGCTGGATAAGGATTTAAACCCACCATAGAAGTGCCTAGTTACCGTTCTTTAAGTAGTCCAAATAATTCTCTTAGGAAGGAAAATCTAGGAAACTAGAACTTTGAGTCTGTAAATTTGGTATCCAAAAAAAAACCACCACAAAAACCAACCAACCAACCAACCAAACAAAAAAAAACCAAAATCAATCAAACAAACAAAAACAAACAAACAAACAAACAAACAAAACCACATTAATTCTGTTATTGCTCTAAATTTATTAGAGACAGAGATTGTCTACAATTGGCATGTCAGTATTTGTTTTGGTGTTTCTGTGCACGGGTCAGACATGCAACTTTAGGCATTTCCAGTGTATGATGCTCTATTTCTACGCAATTGGTTCCCTAAAGCGTTTTCACAGTACTGTGAGAATGAGCTACTGTTTATCAACAGCACAGCTAGTTTGAACTGTGACTTTGGCAGCTCTCAGAAATTATGTTTAAAATGAAGAGTGCTGTATACTTGTTATTTTTGGTTACAAATGAAATTATGGCCTATGATAAGGTATAGCATGGAAAATCTGGAAATTAAGGAAATTAAGGGCTTCTGATCTGTAATCAGTAGGCTGGAGCTATTCTAACGTACCCCTTCATGTATGTCAAGTCTCATTATGAATTCATCATCCTATCCAAAGATTATCTGCAACAGCATAAAATTAAATTATGGCCAATTCTTGGCTTCTTAGAAGGTTTCTCATTTTCTTAGTGCATGTTTTATAACCTGTATTGTATTAGTAAATTAGTAAGCAATTGTCCATAGCTAGAGGCTGAAAGTATATTAATCAGAAAACAAATCTGAATGGAAACAGGGTGAGCTATGTAATACAGTGAGAAACAAAAAAATATGAGCCAGACAAGCCAGAAAAAAATGGATTTGTCTGCACGAGCAAAACACAGATCTTTTAGCTCTGATCACATGTGAACCGTCTCTTTGTAATATGAAAATGAAGGCAGGATTAATGGAACAGCATAATTCTACTAGGATACAAAAGCTATTTGGTATGGAATAAAAGATAGTCTAAACAGATTTTTTATTTTATTTTTTTTTGAAAACTATCTTTTTCTAATCATTTAACATGGCCTACCAGAGACAGAAAAGATGACACAAAGTGATTAAAAGAATATTTTCCAGAAGAATGTGGTCTCTTTCTATTCAAAGGTGTGCCTAGCATCAGACTACAAAGCACAACACAGATGAAATCCATCATTACTACCTACTAACTGATGTGAGGTGGAGCAACTATACATGTACATGCTGGGAGCCATTCTAAGAGATAGAAAATAGGTATAAAAAACCCAAACCCAAACCCAACCAAACAAAAAAGACCTAAGTGAAATTAAAGGAATTTAATTTGAATTCTAAACCTGAAAATATTGAAATTTGTGAAGAAAAGATCAAAGACTGAGTAGCTGGTGGATATAGTGGTCAGACGAATCTATGAATCTGAGGAACGCATAATACAGTATTGCTAGCCTGAACGCATTCGCAAATCATCAGTTAAGTCTGGAATTTCATGAGTTTAGGGATCTTTTGATATAATGAATATAAAACTTGTTTTTGTTTTAAAGGCTCAAAATCAAGGTATTTTAAGTCACATTTTTTTAAAGGAAGTTGAGAGCCATAATATTATGTTCGAAAAGAATGAAAGTTTAGAGTCTCATTTTGCTCAGGAAAGACAAAACAAAACAAAACAAAAACTTTGAATATATTTGTTGGGTGACTTGAAATAAAAGTCAGAATTTGGCAATGTAGAGATAGATTAATCTGGAAAGTACCATAGCTGAGGAAAACTGCTGGCAGTTGGTATGTGAGAAATTGAACATAAGGTTATTTCATTTTTGCGAAAACAGCAATAATCATACAAAGGGCTGAAAAAAAGCTGTAATAAATTTTGCTTTCTCATATTTGACTCATTCACAAATAATTCCTGTTTTATGGAAAATGTGTTTGTTATTCATAAATATTAGTTTAATTGCTAGTCCTATAATTTTCAAGAAACTGATTGAGCTTTTTATTTCAGCTATGGTTTTATCCAATATGATTTGTCTCATACTATATATTCCTTCCCTTTAGGAATAGAAATAGTGGAAAGCAATGTGCTTTTGGTATACTTTTTGTCATAGATTCTAGAGTATCAAAAATATATATGAATAATTTAAATAATATAAATCATAAATCAGGCTGTTAACTCTAATTCTATAAGATCAAATAGGTTTTACTGGCCAGGGTGATCATGTTTGACTGCTGAAATCAGTAGCGATCTAGACAATGAGGGTACAATACATTACACAAACTTGAGGTCTGGATCAGAATCTATTTAATCTGCTTTGTAGTGGAGCCTAAAGCCTCTTAAAACTCTAATTAGCAATGGTTGCTATATGAAAGTTTTTATTTTTGTTTAGAATTTAAAAAATGTTGGGTTTAGCTCCCAGTTCAGGGTTTTTCTTTTTGAAGTAAGTCTTCTTTGCATTCTAAATTGAGGAGTCCAAGCTGCTGAGACTTTTTCATCACTCTATTTCTGAATACTCAAAATGTTTGCTAAACAATTATACATATATATATATATTTTTTTTTTTTTAAAGGAAAAAAACAAAACAAAACAAAACAAAACTTTTTTTCAGCTGGGGAATTAAATGTCATGTTTCCTCCTGAAGGGCACATTTTATGGAGAAGTTATAAATCCCTGAAATTAAGTTTGTAATGGAAAATGTGACAAACTCAACTATGGCAGTGCAAAAATATATTCTTAACACTTAATGCATAAAGGGCTATATATATGAAATGTATTTCCAATGTACTGCATGTTTATTACAGATTAAACACTTAGAAATGGAAAAAAAGGCACATACTCCAACTGTTTCTTAAATATTTGTTTAATATAGCTAGAAAACATTGAAAATTGTAGGACTGAAGAGTACTCAGTAAGTGTTTAAATAACATCAAATGCAATAAAATGTTTCATTTGAAATGTTAAGCAGGTGATAAAAATGCCATGTAGTATTACTATTTGGTGTGCTGTAAAATAATATAATTAGGAGAAAACGCATAAGGAAAAATTAATCATTAAAACAAAACTTGCCAGGTGTGTTTGTATTTGTTCAGGTATTCAGAGTTCTGCAGCGGGTCTTCACCTTTATCTACAGCTGAGCTCAGCTGCTGTGGTACGTTGTGGTGATACGAGACACTTCCATCCTCATGGGCATCAGGACATGTGAACAATGCAGCAGCTCATGATACACACTCCTGCCCCCTTCCAGCCAGACTGTGTAAACGAAGTAGCAAGGGGAATGTTTCCACACCCCTTCTCAAATATGAGCAAGCCAGAGGGGACAGAGGAGAATTGAAAACATCGTGAATCTCCTGTAAGAGAAGTTGGCAAAGAGCAAGAGGTGCTGACAAAGGAGATTAAAAAAAGAACATGTCTGGCATCTTTAAGTAGTGATTACACTTTCTCACTAAAAACAGAAAGGAAAAAAAAGTGAGTTAGAGGGACATATAACTCATGAGAGGTGATGCTTTGGGTGAGTAATATGGTCTGTCCACTTGTTAGACAAATGGAAAATATGTATCTCCTATGTGTTGCCTTGTACTTATTTATTTATTTATTTTTATTAAGTTTTGGAAGGCACAGGCAGGCTTGAGAGACATTTTAACACTAGGTACTTAATCTAACTTTTTTTTTTTTTTTCTAATATATATAGATAGATAGATGATATCTGTAGGACAACAAGCATAATTTTAGAAGCTAAAGTGAAGCAATTGGTATCATCAATTCATATATTCCTTCTATTACTAGACCTTCTGCAGTTTCTTCTCCACTGATATTCACTATTTTTTCTCCTTCAGTTGCCTACACTTAATCACCCTTTCCATTTCAAGAGGAGAAGGAGAATCTCTTGCTCTTACTTCCTGTCCTACCAGAATCCCCCTGAATACTTGCTCCTGTTTTCTCTCAGAATACTTATTCAGCTACCTCGCCTGTGCTTGCTCGCACCAAAGAGTTACTGTGCAAGGAGAAAGGTCTTTTCTGTTCGTTAAATAATAGCCCTAGTTATTATTTTGAGAGCAGGCCTGAGTTGCTGCTACTTCCCCCATCCTTTTCCTTAAGGCATAAGATGTTTTCATTGCCCTGCCATTTCTTCTTTCTCCCCAAGGTCGGTTTCATTTTCAGTGGGTATAGTTAGACAAGTCTTGGATTTGATTCAGTTAAAATTACTGTATATTTGGCCTCTGTATCATGGAAGCACAAGAAAAGCAGCTAAATACACTGTGGAAAGTTGTTGTTCTGTGTTTTCCCTGGCCATGCATAAAGTTCTGCAGTGTAGAAGCCCAAACATTTTGCTTTGAATTGAGTCTGCTGGAATGATATGCTCTGTGTTCATGTGCTAAACTGTGGATAAAGTACCACTGCTTCTCACTGCTCTTCCCAGTAGCTACCCTTTATGGTGGGATCCAGACTCTGCGTCTAAATCCAGGAATGTTCCCAAGAGTTCTTGAATGCATGGAAAAGAAATGCTGGTATCTCTGACAGTGAAAAAGAACTCTGTCTTCTCTATTCACAGGTACCCTAAAAAAATAAATTAGAAGCAGCTGCAAGAATAACACTTTAAAACAGCCAGAAGATATCTGCACTGCCTAGCTGCATTCCCTCTTGGCCTTTTGGCCAGTAACCAAACTGGGCAAAGCAAACTGAGCTTGAAGGTGACATTTCAGTTCTCATTCTTGGCAGAGACTTAGTGGTGTGCTACAACTCTAAGTTGTTAGTCATTTCAATAAGACTGTGAGTTGTAAAGAAGAGAATACAGGGATGGGTTAATGGCTTGCCCAAGGACACCACTTGAAACTAATTAACTAATGCCCTTCATCTTTCAAAATTACCCAGGCTTGCAGGACAAGGGTCTTTTTCTGTCAGCAGAATTGTGTCATTCTGTACAGCTGTGAAGGACTGTGGTGGCTGCTAGGTGTTGAAGAACCAGACCCTGCTAGGAACAATCTGGAGCAGATGTGGAATTGCAGGAATTTCAGCATCGGTGTCAAGGCCTCTTCACATTCAAGGTTATCTTCTGTTCATTCTGCTCCTTTGTCCATTTGTTGGTGAAAAGAAAATGAACAAAGTCCATGCGGCAACAAAAGTTTCATTTCTGTTCTTAATAGTTTTTCTTCCAAAACTGGTGACTTCTTCTGAAATATTTCACTTGTGGCAATTTTTTTTTTCCCTTTTAAAAATGTCTGATGAACTCAGTTATTGCTTAACCAACAGCTATCTTGGTAAATGTTTCTCTACTCAAATATTTTTTGTGCAGCCTTCCAATTTGCATTAAGCTAACCTAATTTTCTTTTGGACTCAATTTTGTTTTAAGCTACCAAAAATACAGGCGCTGGTGTATCATATGCTCTAAAACACTACAGGAAGAAGCAGCAATTTAGCCGTAAATAGATGGCTAGCAAGGTCTGTTTAAAAATTTATACAACATTTTTTCATATAAAATGGAGTGATTGACTCTTTATTACTTACAGGCAATATTTAAGCCTTCTGTGTAATTAATATTCTTTGAGAGGAATGCTGGTGGCTTAATGACTCTTAAAGCTATAGTAGAAAAAAATGCCTTCACATTGATTGAACTTTCTAAATGTCTTGGTTTCATTTATTCTCATTATATTTCATATTTTTTGATGATGGCAATGGCTTTATATAGAGGCATGTGTATCTATGAAAGGAGCAATATCAACATAGTGGTATTCACATTGTAAACATTTTGGTACAATTCAGGAAATCAAATAGATATTTTATTTCCTTGCTGTCATAAGAACATTTCTGGGATTTGTAATAAACATGGCAGAGGATTGCAGCATTTCTACTTTTCTCATAAAGAGTATTGGAACTGTTAATTGGGAAAGCCTGAAATACACTGTAGATTTTTTTTATTTGTTTAACTAGAGTAATAACTCAATGCCCTATTAAAACTATGTTGGTCCTTCCAGGAGTGTTAGCAGGTGTTGACAAAAGCCTTGTCTTATTCATGCAGAGCTTGAACATGCAAAACCTTAAACATAACTCATCAGGCAGATTGTGGTATGGTATACAAGAAAATTTGATATGATTGGAAGAGATGCTGTTGGGTTATGACCTCTTAACACCGTGTTTATTAACATGAATGGAAAGATCCATGCTGACATTTTTCTTCATCAGAACTATAATCGTGAATGGAACTAGTAAATGTAAATAAGAATATTGCAACTGATGTAAGAAACATGATACACAAATATAAAACAAAGTAGAATTTATTCATTCAACATTTGTTCATTTAACTGACTCTTTATGAAAAATGCTTGTATAACATGCTGAACAGGTTCTATAAGAGCCAATTTTATTTTCACAGCAGTGGGATCTCATTAATCACTCAGAGATACAGAGAAGTAGAGAATATAAATAGAAAAGAGGATTTTAGAAATAAAAATATTTATTTTGTGATAGTTTCTTACATGCTTGCATTTCTTGCTGTTCCGATGATCTAGAGACATCTCTATCGTGGCAATCAGAAGATTTGACTTCTATCCTAAACTTGCTGCATGAATCTGGATAAATATAATGTTCAGTACATCAGTCTAGGTGACAGAATGACTGAAAACACATGCATGGCTTAGTACTGTTTCCATCATCCATAACAGTAAGACAGATTCATAAGAATACAATAAAATGGAGGTACAAATATTCTCTGCCTAGACATGCTTAAGGTAACTCAACATCTTTGTTTGCAAATTAGGGATATATAATAATATCACGTTGCTTATTACATTAAAGACATTTAATGAATTGATGTCTATTCTCTTACCAAATCTTGAGCAATTTGAGAATCAGGCTTCAACTGCCCACCACAGAATGAACTAACTTTGGTCAAAATCATCTAATCATTTAGTAAAGACAACAGTTCCATCAAAAAATTGTTCTATAAGGTAGGGAAAAAATCTTTGTAAGCTCTGTATAAAAATGCTCATTATACTTTTATTAACAGGTCAGATTAATATGGTTATAATTACTTAAGGTTTAACTTTGGAAGAAACAGAGCTCAATTCCATGTTTTTAATCGTATTGGGTGGGCAAAAATGAAATGTTTGTCAGCTGTGCACTTTCTATAAAACTTAGTGGAGTGACAAAGTTTCAGACAGCCTCATTGCCCATTCTCTTAACATCTGTTTCCCTTATTTGCTCATTGTATTGAAGTCCTTACAATCAGTGCTTTAAGTGCACAGAGACATATATATTAATGTACGCTAGAGACAGGTCTAACCTATTAGAAATTTAGGTACAACAGGGTTATAAATGTTACTTGATACCTTATAAAGCCCAAGATACCTGACCGGTGCATAGGTTCTGTTGCTTGATGTAGTCAGGTGATAACATATGTACACTTGTGCTGCCTACTTTAGCAAGTGTCAAAAGTTCATGCTAAGTACTACATAAATTATCACCTAATTAAGCGCTGTTATGGTTTGGATTGGGAGGGAAGTGTAAACTTGATTCTCCTTGGAGAGCTATATGCAGAAATATGATGTAGAATTAATTTTACGAATAAAGGTCAAAGATCAAAGTCTGAACATATTTATTGGAAGAAGGAACTGGAAGGGAATCTTGACTTCCTTAATTAAATTCTTTTCTGCTCATGAAAACACTAAGAGGTTAATTTAATTTTATGTGTAATTCCTCATTCTGTTGTAGAGATGTCAGGAGCACTGGCCTGTTACTGGCACTATTTATACCTTCTATACTTTCTGAACTTCCCATTGCTACTCTTACATCCATAGTTACTGAATCATAAATTAGGTATGCCAAGAAATTATTTTTGCCTGGGTACTTTGTAAATAACACATTGATATAAATAACACAGTAGACGCTACTAAAATGATTTATTTGAGATATATTCACCTGGAGGTTGGAGTTTAGGATTAAATTAATAATGCCATTATGGAACAATCTTATGTGAAGGCATTAAAGTTTTGTACATTTATGTGTCTATCAATTTACTATGTTAATACAAGCTATCCAGATATGTTATTTGTGTGTTAGACCTGAAGATATAGCTAATTCTGCTGGGAAAATGATGATACTGATGACTGGCTAAGAATTATAAAATGTAGAACCTGCATCAGTCCAAACAAATGTTTAAGATCAATAATATTTGGACACGTGCAAATTGAAATGAGTCTTTCAAATAATTTACAGCTAAAATTATTTTAATATGTCACACAAAATAATCATGTTCTCTCTTCTATTTGTTCCAGCAGTTTAAGTGACAATACCACAATATTCATAATTGTAAAAAAATGCCTGTTTGTGTGATTTTACCACTGTTTCCTCTAGCTTTTGGCTTATATACTTTGAAGAGGACTAATACAATATTGAAGATCTCTATGGTTTTGATTTTTCTGGTTATAATATCCGTTATGGCAGGGACAGCAGCTGTGTTCAATATAACTAGCAAAATGTAGCTTCGGTGGTGACATTTTCAGTCACTTCTGCAATATAACCGAAGTAAAATATGTTAATGCTCATGGTCCTTGAGAGAGAAAGAAATAGTTAAAGCTATGGAACTAAAGTGAGAAATCTGAAGTAAGGATAAGTTTTAAGAAGCACTTTGAAAGGGACCGAAGTATGAAATTTCAGGCAATAGAGAGATTTTTCTAGTCTGTGATACTACCACCAAAAGCAACAAGGAAATCAACATTAGCAGTATGACAGTTGCAACATTGATTCAGAATAGTATATGCTAGTTTAGTTTTTCCTCAAACTAGACAGCTACCTGAAGGCAGCTGAACACCTAGAGACATCTATGATAAAGCAACACATGCTAGTGGAAACACTAAGTGAAGTGTGGGGAGAAAAAGAAGCAAGGTAGCCAAACAGTTTCTTATCCTAAAATACCTAAGATATTTCTCCATCTCCCTCTGTCATTGGATAGGAGAAAACACCAGCAGTGAGATTTATATTTTTATTTTTTATTTTTATTTATTTTTTTGTGGCAAGCAACTTTCCACATCGCAAAGATCACTTCTACCATTACTGGCAACTTAGGCAGTCTTTATAAAGATGCCAATGGCTGTGCCACTGTAGGGGCTGAGTTGCTTCCTCTTTTCCCCAAGTGAAGTCTGAAGCATGTTGGCCTGTGCTGGAAAATTTATGTTGGCATTACTAATTCCAGCAAGAGATTTCCCTTCCTACAGTGTGTCTGACCCAGTTATGCATTCAGACTGTTGAATGAAGGAGAGAGGAACAATTTCAGAGTTCTTGAAGATCTGCAGTAACACTGAACCATCTCAGTGCTGGTATAAGGACTTATATTTTCATTGCCCTTTATGGAGCTTTTTCTTCAGTTGGTTTTGCATGATGTTCTTTTATATATGACATCTTATTTATTTATTTATTTATTTATTTATTTATTTTTGACTAAAGTAACTAAAGACACAAATTATACATATATATCTATAGGTAGAAGGAAATGTGCTTAACCAGAGTGCAAGCATTGTCTAGTTGGAGATGCTGCTCAAGAACTAAGGCCAGATCAAATGTTTTTTACCACTTTACACTAGTCTTTGGTGTCAATGTGTGGATGCCATCGAAAAATGGAGTACTCCATTTTTCCTCTAACCTTCAACTCTATGTTCCAGACTCTATAACTGTGCCATAGCACATCTACACTGCAAAATTGTGTGTTCTGCTATTTTTGATATACATTATTACCACAGAACTGAAAAGAGGAGGTAACATCTACTCAAAGAGAAGATACTTAATGTCACATTAATACAAATATCTCTCTAACACAGGCATGCTAGCAGCATGACCTAAAATGATCCCAGACTTTCTTCAGAGATGAGGCTGCTTCACACAATGTTTAGAGAACACCTGAACCCATCTCTGTGGCTTCTTCTTCATGAAATGCTGCTGACATGAGCACAGGCAAGGCAATGAGGAGAGGGCTTACCTGCCATCATTTCCCACTTTCTAAAACACTTGCAGTACTGCAGCCTGATGATGCTTACCTGATCAAGGATAAGCATCATCATCAACATTGAAGAAAAGAAAAGCATTATATTATTTTTAACAGGGTATTGGAGGTGTCCCCACAAGATACATAGAGGTACCCAGATTTCATGGAGTTCTTCAACTTTGTAGGAGCAGAATGGCATTCAGATGTAGTCCTAAGGGGACATTTTTGGGGATTATTTTGCAATTGTTTGCAACTGCTGACAAGTCCCACTTCCTTCTTACGGACTGAGGACCTGCTTTTGTTCATTACCATGTTCAGGTAACACTGACAGAGTACTTGGCAGTCACTTATCGTGGTTTAATGAAGTTTGGTTAGGTTGCTCTGCTGTGTTGGTTCCATGGATGGTTAGAGAAAGAACCTGTGTTGATAAAAGAAAACCTGCTTTATCTCGGAGTTGTCCTGAAAAGCAGAAAAATCTTTGGTAGCTTTGTAGTATTTGGTTGTCCCCTTCTGAACCAGATAGAGACTTAAGATGAAATTAATTTGATGAAAACTGGATTTCATTTACTTCAATGAAAGAACAGTTATGTCCCATCAGTTGTCTGTCGGGCATGGTCTATTGGCTCTGTTATTTATTATCACTGTCATTGTGAGCCATACTTCCTGTTGCATATGCCTTAGTTTTCTTACCTACATGGTCAAGAAGACAAGAACTTATTCTGAGGCCTCCACTTGTACGGGTTTGGAATTCTTTTGGCCAGGGAACAACAAAAAGGCAGATGACTAGTGTTCTCTGTGTCTCTTTTCTGTATGCACAAGACAGCCAGTTGTATAAGTTTTGTTAAAAGACAGACTGGATGATGAGCAAGTATGATGACATGAAAGAAACTCCACCGTCTGCTCCTTCAAAGTCTTAAGCAAAGAGGAACACACATGCCTCAAGACTGAATTTGGTTTATGGATCTTTCAGTTCCTCAGCTGAAAGTTTACGATCAGTCAGTGTGTCTGCAATACTGGACTCACAGTCAGTGTGTCTGCAATGCTTCTTTCAGCAAACACAAACTGAGTTTAAGGGCCTGGAAAGCAGCACAGCAATTCGCTGGCCCAAATGCAAAAATAAACCATGCACAGTATGTCACATTAGCTCTTAACTGTCTCCAGGAAGTGAAACGTTTGACAGGGAAATATATTTGTTTGTGGCCTCATTTGATTCATGTTTCAGGAAAAGAATTGAAGTCATACCCCCAATGGAGCACATCCATCCATCAAGGGGAGGATACTGCAGCATACAGGATGTCATCTTCCCACAGCCTCCTCCCTGCTTCCCTGTGGAGGCAAAGCACCATTCAAGTGAAGGAGGCTTTAGAAAGGAGGTGCGATTTTTATTTTTATTTTTTATTTATTTATTTTTTTCTGTCCAACACCAACAGAAGTGTTTTAGATGGCATAAGAACAACATCTTGCTGAAAAGAAGGAGATCTTTCTCGATTTCTTTAAGAAAAGGTGGCATGCCTTCCTAATCTTTATTCCTTATCCCCTGAGGATATGCTGCTGACTCTTTTCAAGGCCTTGCATGCATCATGGCTAACCTGATGAACCAGACATCTAGATCTGGACTGTCACTTACTCCCAATGTAGATAGCAAATGGTGTGACTCTGTGTGGAATAAAATGGATGGGATCAGGATGAGTTAGGTGTAGAAATCTTTCTGTATTAGGAAGGGATGAGTTCACTGTGGTGGATCTCTTCCTTTTGCAACTAAATTTCCACTCCCCTTCTCATCCCAGTAGGAAAAATGCAAAAATATTAGTAGAAAATTGTGCAGTATAAATAAGGAATAACTCCATAAGGAAGTCTGTGGAACTACCCTCACATAAAAGATGTATGCCAGAAGAAACTGGGTCTAGACTGTACTTCTAGAAGGTGGTTTATAAAATACTCTTGATACAAATCTATAATGCATACAATCCAGTTTCTAATTTCAGATTTGATTCTTTATATGTTTTCTCTATGTCACTGTTGTATTTTTTAAGGATGCTCTCTCAGATTAACCTCAGTGGTAGCTTTCATGAGAAAGAAAATAAAATTTATTCTTAAAAGAATAAGTAGCACATTTACAGAGAGGTTGAATGGATATGCTTATGTACTAGTCCATGAGCTATTGGAACCTGTCTTTTCCTTTCTTTTTCTCACCTTCAAGTTCTGCTAGTTTTTCCTTTCTGATGTATAGAGTATCAGAACATTGTAAGGAACCTACCATTGAACTCTTATTTTATTACCTTTCTACACTGCTGTGATACAGATTATTCATTTATGTATTTATTTTGATGAGGGGGTTGCTCCATAAATTCATTAAAGATGTGAGTGTTTGTGTTTTTGTGCCCAAAATACATCCTTAGCTATTTTAAGTAAGCAAGCAAGTATGCTAAATTACTAAAAATAGATATTTAAAAATACTTGACCTCAAATTACCAATCCATCAGCAGCAGAGGGTAAAAGGGCCTTTAAAGGCATCTTTAACTTGCATCATACCCTAAGCAGAACCTCAGATTTACAGGCTTGTGGTTAAGGCACATCTAGACAGAGCCACTACCTCAGCTAACATCACAGGAGGGGCCATTTATATTTCAGGTTTCTTGTCATGGGTGTTGCAGGTCTCAGCATAGCACAGGAGTTTCCAGAATGTTCTTAATGAGACAGCACCCTTCACAAAGGCTGTCGTATGGATCACAGTTGTGGACATGGCAATAACTGTGTTTCTGCACAATGTTAGTAAAATGGGTGCCATGCAGAAACATGTTCCCTTTTGAAAAACACTAATCCTACCACCAACTTGTTCTCTTGCCTTTATTTACTCCCTTTCAGCTCTTCTGTATTTTCCACATCTGTGCACAGGGAAGGAGCCAGATCCGTGTGGCTAACCAGTTCACCATGGAGCAACAGGAACTGGACCACAGTTTGGGCACCTCAGCAGGCAGAGGTGCCTGCTGCTCCTCTGAAAGGAGTATCAGATGGAGAATTAAAGAAGGGTATGTTCTCGCAGCTGCCGGGCGCTATCAACACTATCCAGCAGGATGATCTAGATTTCTGCTGCCCTGTGCCAGATGGCAGCATTTTGATACTCCAGTCTTCATTGCAGGTCTGTGCTCTGTGGTTATGGCAGGACTTCATCTTCAAATAACTGCTCATTTTTTGAAATTCAGGCATGACCTGAACTTATTTGGATATTTCAAGCTGCAAGTTTCAGTTGAACCCATAAGCAGCAATTGGGTTTAGGCAATAAGGAAAGCTTTCCCCAGGTGTGTAAAAGCTAGGCAGAACAATGCCTGTTCACAGGCAGTTTGCTCCATGATGAATGAAAAAAATGTCTGTTGCTGCATGCCTTATACATTGCAATGTACATCTGCAAATATATATAAAGTCAGAAAATTCTTTGAATGCTTATGCTCCATGTAAACCAAAATGTCCTGTCTGAAGTCATAAGTACAGAGGATTATTCAATAGTAGTTTATGATTTTAGTTTTAATTTGCAACTTGATCTCTTAAGGAGAGTTTATGGTCAAAACCCAAATCCATTTTAAAATTTGTGTTTGTGACCTTCCTGTTCTGAAGACAAGCAATGCTTCATTAAAAAGGCAAATACTTCCATGAACACAGAATATGTAAATCTATGAGCTTGTTTTTATCTTACACTGGGGGTGATATCCAGTCTTGAAAGACACTGGGACAGAGAGGAGACTTGCCAGACATAGATGATGGCATAAAACAGCAAAGCAATAGTCTGTCATAAGAGCAGGCAATGTTTGGGGTTTTGCTGAGCAAACGTGTCTTGGCTTCATATGGAAATACAATCTTACTGGCAGGACATGGTTAGTTGAATTTTGGTGATCATATAGGGCTGCAGGGGGCTGGATTGGGGGTTATTTTTCTTTCTAAGTGGGACAGCTTATTTTGCTGTAAATTCTCCTATTCCTTTGTTAGTGGCCTCAGTGTGCTAGGGGAACCTGCTTCACCGTCATGAAGAAGCAAAGCCCTGTAGAAATGGGTTGTATGTCTTGAATGCTGGAAGTGATTAAGAAAATGAATTCAATGATCCTCTTCAATAGATAAGGGCTTATTTCCCTGTAGCAGAAAGTGAGAATACTGTTACACTGAGAAAGTCATCAGTAGTGATGCTTACTTGCTACACACAAAATATTTTCAGTGCATGTTTCTCCACTAACTCAACCACTGTTTTCAGGATGTTTTGTGACACCACAAAGCAGCTGTTCTTTACTCTTCTGACTAAGACATTTATATTCAACCCTGACATTTTAATCTAATAAAAAAAAAATCTTTTTACCTCCTTGCAGTATAAACAGAGAACCTCTATATAATGGGCATCTGTGGAATATGGAATTAGTCCCACTAGTGCGGAAAAACCTTCATAACTCTCTTGTGGCTTCATCACTCTTTGAGTTATGAGGTCTTCCTCTCACTTGCGGGATTAAGTCCAAATCCCACAGAAGCTTATTATGTGTCCACTATTTATTAAGACTTCATCATTTAAAACAAAACACTTAAGAAAGACACTGGGAAACATTAAAATCAAAGAGGTTTCAGTCTGAAGAATAGTTGTTGTATTTGAAGGTTTTTCAAAGTAGGGAAGAAAAAAATCATTTTAGTTCTGATAACCACTGAAGTTGCTGCTTCTGCTTATTTTTTTTTCCTCCTCTTTTTTTTTTTTTTTTTTTTTTTCTTTTTCTCCATGGAGAGATTATGTTTTTCCTTTCTTTCCAACAAGATTTTATAAACCTTTTAGTATCCTTGTGAAGATTTCACTTACTTTTCTCTGCCTTGCAGTCCAGTGACTGGAGCCATTTAACATGAGTGAGAGCCCTTGTTCCCTATCCTACTACTAAGTGTATATATTTGCTGTACCTTGACATTCAGAAAGCCCTTTAAATGACACCCACTGTTTTGCAGAAGTGTAACATAACACAAATGCACTAGCTGAGGCTTAATCCTAGTAGTAGTTTAGCAGTTCTAACATTTTTTACTGAGGTTGTCTTGGAGTTAAGAATGTTTGAGGCACTTTTCTTCATTTCTCCCTACTAGAAAGAAATAGCTGTTATCACCTATATAATTCTCTTCTTCCCTTGCATAGATGTATTTAATTCTCTAAACAGTTGTGAGAAATAAGGAACTTAATTTTATAGCTGGGGAAAATGAGGCAGAGGAGTTTTGTTACTGGTCTGGTGTCATTCTGTCATATCAGTGACAGATCTGGGATTAGAAGCCAGAAGATGCTGGCAGCCAGCCCAGAGCTCAGTGCATGGTTCCCATGGTAAAGTTAGTCAATGTCACGCACTAAAATAGACATACATCATCTTGTAACGGTGAGATGAGAATACTGAAATGTACATATACTACAAACAGAACAGATCTTGCATCAGTAGCTTTCTGAATGCTGTCAGATACCTGGAGCTTCATGCACCATGCTCACTTTCTGCTGGTGCTGAAGTTCGATGGAAATCACAAAACCATTAAAAGATGTGTGCCTGGAACCATGATGATGGTAGACCTTTTTACACCTTAAAAAGAAATGTTAAGGCAAGAGACCAGACGTCCTCTGGGAGGAGTGGGGAATACAAGAGGAAGATTGTGGACATGTAACAACATTTTTTATCTCTGAATACAAGTCTGATAAATTTAGATAAATTTCAGGGGAGTAGCCAAATTATGTGTGCATTCTTGAACTTCAAAACAAATCTATTCACTTGTTCACATGTTCTTTCAGTTAATCACTTTTCTTTCCTTAGCCCTGATAGAGAAAACATGGATAGAACTTAAGGCAAGGAAATAAAGAGCAAACAGATGGTTTTTAAAAAAGCTGAGGACTACTAGATTCTCACCCTAGTGAGAACTCAGGATGAGCCTCCTTTTATGAGAATCCATAAGATTTATAGTGAAAAATGTATGGTCAGTCAGAGTGCTTCTAGCTGATGACAGATCTTTCTGCTCAGCCTTTGCTGCCGAGTGTAACTGAATTAGCACAAAATGACCCTTTTATTCTGCCATACCGTGGATTTATATTCACAGGGGCAGCTCCTCAGTAAGGGTAAATTGTCTTAACTCTTTCAAAAGACTTGAGTTCTGCTGTTTGAGGTTTGATCCCAGAAAAAGGTGAGCACATGTTTACAAATTCTGACTTTGACTGTGAACACCACCCTTACTATGTGGCACTTCCAATCCTTACTATGTGGCACTTCCTTGAATTCTTTTAGTCAGCTTTTTGACAACATGAAAAAGAATTCTAACCCATTGTAATGGATACTAATGTAGCCTAGAGGTAATTGTGTTTTTGATACAGTACTTTTTAGATGTAAAATGTGTTGGGATGTAACTGAGATAAACTTTTCATTTGTATTTTGGAATTACTTGGCCACCTCTAGTAAATTCAAAAATGTTGCCATTATTTTGAAGAATTTATTATACTTACGTTCACTTTAAAAGAAATCTAGGACTAATCTGTTGACAGTGGTCTTTTTTATTATTATTATTTTCCTTTGTTCTGTGCATAAAGAGGTCAGCAGGAAAAAGCTCAGGTTTTGGATGAAAAGAACAGAAATGACAAGCAAAGTGTGGACTGTAGAAGCAAAGGGAAGCAAAAAGGTGATGAGAGTGAAACAAGAATGTAAATCACATTTTTTATGAGTGGCCACCCGGACGACAGAGTGCAGAAGCAGACTGGGTTGTTGTGAGAAATAACAATGAGGAGTGCACATGTAATAATACAAAGTGCCTAGGAGAGGGCTAAGGCTGGGACTGGGACAGTAGTGGGGAAGGCTATGCTAGAGCAGGGCTGGGAGCAGGCTCATTGCTTACACTGTCCTGCTTCTTTTTTGGTCCCTCTGCCCCCCCCCACCCCCTCCCCTTTGTTTCTTAAACAAGGTTGATTTTCCTAGAGATGGTCCAAAAAGGCACCCTCTTGAACAATAAACACAAATGACTGTGGTGGTCCTGTCAGCTTTGGATCTTTGTAAAATAGCCAGCGATCCACAACAGTTTCTGGAATTGATTTCACAGGCTTTCCCCCTACCTTCTCACTGACAGGCTGGAAAAAAAATTCTCCTACCACCATCAGTGAATGCTATTCATTTTCCCATTATTTTAAATTCTTACATGCAAAGAGTCCTAAAGAGCTGTCCCTTTGAAGCAAAGGTGATTTTGCTACTGAAGGAGTAACAAATCAAGCACTATGCTCACAAACTCTTACATTTTGAAAAGAACACTTCCAAATGATTAAATAGTTATGCATGGCAAGGGCTTGAAACTTTGATGATTTATTCAGAGTCCATAACCTATAGTAAAATATAAATTTTTGTTAATAGTGGCATAAATGTAACATTCTCTCCTTCTCCTCCCTCCCCCCTTTTTTCCTAAGTCTAGGACTTCCAAGATTTTTGGAAGAAAAAAAGCATCTGTTTTTCTGTATGTTTGCTTTTTTTATAGACTTCATAAATCCAGCAAGTTTCTATTTGGACCACTAGGCCCTTTCAATAGAAGCATGTTTTCACTGGGATTTCCACATTCATAATTATTCCTCTCGTTTCTCTGCTGTGAGAAGACAAGCCGTTATTTCATTGCTTTGGGGAAGTTAATAATATGGTAGGCAAAACATCAGGAAAAATTATAATGAATGAACCTATACAAATTGTAGGGAAACACATGCTGCTGTTATAAAATGTTCCCATCATAAATCCTAGAAAATCACTCTGTGCACAAGTGAATAACTTTTTAACACATAAACACTCAATTAATTAAAGGTAATATACCATATATGCTGAAACTAGTGTGACACAGAAAGGACAGATTCAAATAATGGCATTCAGGATTGTGGGCCCAGTCATGTCTGCCACAGTCCTCCTAAGAGATTTAAGAATTATAACACTCCAAGGTAAATCTCTTCTATACCTGAAATGAAAATGGAGTTCTCAGCCTCAGTGTTGCAATGCCATATTACTCTATTCACTTAATGCATAAATGG